AATTCATTCCCATTATCTAGAAATCTTGGCAGGGATACCAAATTCCACTTTTCATCTTATCTGCTAAGCCCCAGAGGTACATGTTCAGTAGATTCTTAGAAGCAGTCCTGGACAGCGCATAGTAGTCCAACATCAACAAGCAAACTCTAATGATGACTTCAAGTCACAAGCATACTTACTACATTTGTGATCCCATTTACATTCTCCCCTACACACCCACAGCCCACGAGGTTCACACAGCCTCGCCTACAGGGATTCCCAGGGTACTCTGTGCTTACAGGCTTTGCTACAGAGGAAAAGTGTTCAAGTACTTGTGGTCATGTGGAAAGAATCCAACAGCACTTGGGTGTGCAGGGTTGGACCTGATGGACCATCCTTTCCCTTTGAAAGGACAAGCAGACAACAACCTTTGTGAGTCCATACCCTCTCTGCCTGCCTGTCCTTTGAACCAGTCTTTTGAACCAGCAAATACAGGGACACCCATAACTACAACCTCCTCTCTGCAGGAAAATAAGCCAATAGGGAAGTTGTGCAAGACACTAAACAAACATCTATAAGAACTAAGGACTTAATCGTCCCTAGAAAGTCCCCAAACTCTGGCCTGGGGGCGTGGGGGAGAGCTCACTTGTGAGATGGAAAAGATGAATTGATAACAGCTCTAGTTGAATCCTTCTCTAGTTTCTCTTACTGGAAAAAACCTAGGAACTTGAGTATCTTAAAACAAAAACAAAACAAAACAGAGGTAACTAACATTTTTACAAACATATGAGTGGTACTTGACATATCCCATTATTTTCTAGGCAGTCTTCTGATAAATAAAAAGCAAGGTATGGCTATGTTCTAGTAACTTTTGGAATCCCAGCATTTTCAAAACCATATTATTGAATAACTCCCATTTTTAATGTTGCCTAAGTAAACAATATGCTACAGCACTCAGATTGTAAAGAAAATCTTGCTGGGTGGTAGAAGGAAAAAGAAAAATGTCTCATGTACCATTTATACTCTAAAGCAATTTCTGCTGAATGATTAGATTATTGTATTTGTTACAGCTTCATCACCTGTATTTCATTTCAAATAAATGTTCTTCAGTCTCTTTGCCAACAAAGCACGTTTGATGGAAATGCCTCAAAATCAATTTATACTGCTTCACCAGTTTTATGCATTTTAAATTTAAGGAAACAACAATTAGGATATTTTCAATGATGAAAAGAACTCCATTAAGCTGCCACAAATGTCAAAAGTTCCTGGCTATGCTAACACTTATGTAATTGTTCTGGAAACCCCACGCACCGGAATAGACCTACAATACTAGGCATGACTCACCGAATATTTCTATGCACATAGAAATTTAGAGCATCTCTCTAAAATGCTCTCCAGTTGGGATTTATTTTTTCAAAGAAAAAAAAATGGGCAAAATATGGTACATCAAATCCAAAAGTTCTTTCTGTAATTTTTTGGAAAGTACTGCCTCAGATGAGAGCATTAGAAGATGCTGCTGATGTCACTAATAAAGTAGCCAGATGGGCTAGAGTTAGAACAGGTTGAAACTTTGAAATTCTTCCTGGGGGAAAAAAAAAAAAACCAAAAACCAACAACCAAAAAAACAGAGAACGTGTGGGTTCTCAAATTTCCAAATGGTCCTCATTTCTTCTTGTGACTTTATTCCCAAGTTTGTTTTCTGAAAGTTGTGGCTGGCAGCATATGACTGGTGTCCTAATCTCCTGAGCAATGTCAAGGAAAATGGTACATGCCATAAAATGCTAGTCAATACAGGCAAGCCTGGGCCCACAAAAACCAAGGCACCTGGGTAGCATATGTTCTAATAGGTTTTTTTTTTTTTAATGTTTATTTATTTTTGAGAGAGAGACAGAATGTGAGCAGGGGAGGGGCAGAAGGAGTGGGAGACACAGAATCTGAGGCAGGCTCCAGGGTCCGAGCTGTCAGCACAGAGTCCGATGCGGGGCTCGAACTCACCAACTGTGATGTGAGATCATGACCTGAGCCGAAGTTGGACGCTCCACCGACCGAGCCACCCAGGCGCCCCTTTCTAATAGTTTTATCGGACAGGTGGTATTAGTCCAAATTCTTGCGGTGAATTTACAAAAGCTTACGGCATAACTGTATCCTAAAAAGTGTGTTTGGCGGTACTTTTAACAGCAAGGGAATGTATATTTCATCGGCAATAGTCATGAATTAGGAATTCAATCAGTGGTGGTGCCAAACCAGTTTTGTTGATATGAAGGTCCCGAGGGCAGTGCCGCCAGACAGTGGAAACAGACTTGTAGATGGGAGTTTTTGTTTAGGGGGTAAAGAGATGGTTCAGCCATTTGCAGGTCACTCTGGGACCCCCGGAGGAGGAATCTGGCAGGCAATAACTTCCAATGGACCAGACAGCCTGGAGTGAGCCCCAGAGCCAAGGACGGGGCTTGAGAGAAGACCCAAGCTCTGGGGAGGGCCAAAGAGAAAAGGCAGGATTCCAGTTTTGGAGAAGCTTAGAGGCGAAACGTGGAGGAAAGAAAAAGAAGAACGCAGTTGCCAGAATTGGAGTAGCAGATAAAGCCTGTCACGAGGGATAAAGCGGACATCTCACAGCGGGAAGGGAAGCAGGAGCTCGGAACAGAATCCATAGCCCAAGCTGAGCAGACATCGAGGTCGGTGAACGACTTGTATTTCCTCCGCCCGAGAGCAGACCTGGGCCGGCACCTGGGCTCGGGCTGAGCTGCAGGTGGGGCTCAGTGGCCCCAGCCAGAGGTCGCGTCTGAATTCAGGGCAAGGTGCCCGGCAGATGGCGGGACACCACCCACACCGAAGTCCTCGTGGCTTCCAGTCCTTTCTGTTTGCACAACTTCATTCCCATCTCTTTTTTGTTTTGTTTTGCTTTGTTTTGAACTTTTAAGATCTACTCTCTCAGCAACTTTTAAATATTTATTTTAATTTTTATTTAACTATTTAATTTATTTTAATATTGATTTTATTTTTAAGGGCGAGAGAGAGCATGAGCGTGAGCGATGGGAGAGGGGCTGTGAGGGTTGGGGATGGATAGAGGATGTGAAGCAGGCCCTGTGCTGAAAGCAGAGAGCCCAATGTGAGGCTTGAAGTCAGAACCATGATATCATGGCCCGAGCCGAAGTCAGACACTTAACCGGCTGAGCCCCCCAGGTGCCCCTAAATATACCATACAGTATTATGAATTGTGGCCATCTCGCTGTACCTCATCTCCCCATGACTGGAAGGTTGTACCCTTTTTGCCAGCTCTTTTTGTTACCTGAAATGTGTAAGCCTAAACTCCCCAGGCTGCTCATCGTTCAGGACCCAGTTCAAAGAGCATTGTCTCTGTGAAGCCCTTCCTGGCTTCTCCAGGTGCCAGGAGCGCTTTACACAACTCTCGATCATGACCCTTAATACACTTTGTCTCATCCTGTTTTCCTTTACCAGCCTCTCTCTCAACTAGCCTTCGAATTTCTTGCCGAATGAGTCTTGGCATCTCCTGAGCCTAGCATGATATCAGCACGATGTAAGATCTCAATAAATATTTGATGATAAATAAATGGAGTGACTGAGTGAACACCTGTTTATTAAATGAAAATCGATCAATTGATACATAAGGTAATGGATGAAGTACTTGTTAACAATGCCATATACTGACAAAAAATAGAAAACAATCAACAGTAGCTGACATTTGTGTGCTGCTTGCTCACAGTCCCAGGCTTCTATGCCCAATCTTTCCCATAGACTATCTTACTTCATCTTTACAACAACCCAAGATGTAAGTTATATTGTAACACCCATTATACAGATAAGAAAATGGAGGCATTATGGTAACAACTTTAAGAACTCTGTCTGATCTGGGATCTGTATATTCTACTCTGGAGTAGCACTCCTCATTCCTTGGGCCCCTCAGTTGCCACAGGGGATGTGGTGGCTCCTGGGGTTTGGGACGAAGGTGTCCATCAGGCTCTGCCTGCCCCCCTCCCCCCCATGACTTACATTAACAAGGAGATTATGTCCCATGCACTTGTACTAGCAAGTCCCACATGAAGTCCTTCCCTGATGGGTAAAGCCTCACTGGTATTGGCCAGAGATCCCTACTTCTCCTATGAGTTCTTTACCTTGTTAGCTTTAAGGTGTAGGATGTGGCAGAAATTGAAGTGAAATGCTACGGCACTTTCTTGTTCAGCTGATATTGACATGTCTACCTTACTGTGAGGACCACACAAAGCACTTTACACACCTTACCCTCTTCTGTCTTCACCCTACCCTATAAAGCAGATATCTTCATCCCTCAACATATATATGAAACTCCCAGAGGTTTGCAAACCTGCCTAATATCCTAGAAGGCAGAAGCAGAACCAGGATTTGAATTCCAGTTTGATGCAATTCAACCAATATCTATGGATCACCTCTTTTGGGATGTGCTCAATCCCTTTCCACACAGCATGTTGCCACCAATACCCTTTGACCATACTCAGCTTCTCTGACTACTGGTTAGAGTCTCCTTTTTTTTTTTTTTTTTTAAGTTTATTTATTTTGAGAGAGAAAGAGAAAGTGAGAGAGGAAGCGAGAAAGAATCCCAAACAGGCTTCTCACTGTGCAGAGCCCAATGTGGGTCTCCATCCTGCGAACCATGAGGTCATGGCCTGAGCTGAAATCAAGAGTCAGATGCTTAACTGGCTGAGCCACCCAGGCATCTTGGTTAGGGTCTCCTTTAAATTTTTTTTAATGTTTTATTTATTTATGAGAGAAAGAGAGAGAGAGAGAGAGAGAGCATGAGCAGGGGAGGGTCAGAGAGAGCGGGTGACACAGAATCTGAAGCAGGCTCCAGGCTCTGAGCTGTCAGCACAGAGCCCCATGCGGGGCTCAAACCCACAAACCATGAGATCATGACCTGAGCTGAAGTTAGGACGCTTAACCGACTGAGCCACCCAGGTGCCCCTAGGGACTCCTTTAACGCAGGATGCAGAGGAAGCTTTTTGGTCTACCCATTTAAAAAGTCACAGTCTTTGCTTCAGCAGCACCTAGACTAAAACTGGAACAATACAGAGAAGATTAGCATGGCCTCTGTGCAAGAAGGACTTGCAAATTCGTGATGCGTTCCACATTTTTCTAAGGAGTGCTCCTGTTGCAATGAGCACCCAGTGTTGTATGGGTGTTGAATCATTATATTGTACACCTGAAACTAATTTACACTGTACGTTAACTATGTGGAATTTAAATACAAACTTTTAAAAGAAGTCACAAAGATCTAATTCACTGGTGTATAAGTAGAGAAAATTAGAGACTGAAGCCATGTATGACGGTGGGTAAGATGAACAGTGTCTCCAGTCAGAAAAGCCAAAATCTGGGGTGCCTGGGTGGCTCAGTTGAGCCTCCAACTCTTGATCTCAGTTCAGGTCTTGATCTCAGGGTTTTGAGTTCAAGCTCCGCCTACTTTAAAAAAAAAAAAAAAACCCTCCTAAATCATTCTCCTGACTTCTGCCATTCTCTTCTGCTCATTGGCAGCTCTCACACTTGTACTTCACACACAGCCACTTTTGTTGACCTGTTCATGGCGGGTGGTGATGACCTGTTATGAACTGATGCAGCCGCAGGAGAGAGGAGGCCCGGAGTCCACGCCCGCGTTGCTTGCTTTGTGAAATTCCAGACTGCTTAATCGGCTCTACTTCATCCCAGGAACTCCAGATTCCACTTTTCTTAATGACTTTCCCCTCCTTAAATGCCTACACAGTTATCTTTGAAGAAGGAGAAAAAGAATAGATGAATCATTTGCAGGAAACAGGGGGTGGGGGGGGGCAGAGACATGTGGTTGGAACGGCAGATGGCTGTGTGTGTGGGCACATTGCTGTCTCTGTTGTTCCCTTCCACCACCCTCTGGAATGAATCCTTGGGAAGCGTACATTCATCGCAGGGTGGGGGCTGTGCCCGCTTTCAGGTGCTAACATGCAAACCCACATCCACATGGATTCTTCTCAGACATCTGAACTCCAGCAGAGCAGAAAACTCAGGCTCTGACCCAGATTGGACAATTTATCCTCTCCTCCACGTTTTGACATTAAACCTTCGAAAGATGAAGTGAGAAACTGCATGCAATTAGTGGCAGCAGAATTTCTCATACTGTCTTCTTTGTCCTGCAGGGTATGAAGTAAGTACATAGATACTCTTTCTATGCCATAGTGTAAGCTCCTAACCTCATAAGGGATTGGCAAATGCCTATCGGGAAGCCGGAGAGAGATTCACGTTCAGATAAGATGTGCATTAAGCAGGAAAACACAAATTGTTCTTGGTGGGGCTTTTGGTGGTGGGGGCGTGAAAGGGTCATAAAGATATTACAAGCTCAGGAACAAGTGCCCATGTGTTGCTCCCCAAAGTTAGCTTCTTGCTGTGTGTATGGAGACAACACCAACTGTGATTGTTTCACTTGGATAACTGAAATATGTTTCTAGAATCCCGAGAATTCAACAGAACACACAGTTTGAAACCCTTTTCTCAGAAGGCTTCATTTAGCCTCTCCTGTTACTTATCTATAAGTTTCCGGATGTCATCGGGATGTATGTGGTAAGGTGGGTCTTTGTTACTTTATTTTTTAAATGTATGAAACTCACTTCATTGACAGACTCTCTTTCACTGATTTTTCCCTACTTCTGTCACTGTCGTCTGCCCTCCCTACCATAGACCCATAGGACAGGATCCTGCTGTGAGCACACAAATGTGCAGAAGGATTAGACCTTGTCACCTTTCTCCTGGATGCATTAGGGGTTTTGGTAAAATACGCATCTAGAAGTTGAAATATGTTTCTTAGCACAAATTATATACTATTTGGAAACAAAACATTGTGGTTAATGTGGTTAAAAGTGTTAAAAGCACTTTTTAAAATCATGAACACTTTTCTATTTTTTTAATGTTTATTTTTGAGAGAGAGAGAGAGAGAGAGAGAGAGACAGAGTGTGAGCATGGGAGGGGCAGAGAGCTAGAGGGAGACACAGAACCTGAAGCAGGCTCCAGCCTCTGAGCTGTCAGCACAGAGCCCAACGCAGGGCTAGAACCCATGAGCAGTGAGATCATGACCTGAGCTGAAGTTGGGCACCCAACCAACTGAGCCACCCAGGTGCCCCATGAACACTCTTTTAAAAATTAACTTTAGTAATAAAAATCAGCTGATTAAGAATGAGTAAACTCAGTCCAGGAACGAATCTGAATAACCATAAAAAGTATTTCATCAATCGTAAATCTCATTAATAATAGGTTTCCTACCCCTATACTCATTATGATTTGATGACTCATTTACCTGAAAGTCATTCATCTGAACCTTCACAAGCACTAATTCTTGAATCCTAAAAAGCTTTAAAATTGTACTTTTCATGATTTTAAAAGATGTCATTACGGAACTAATTTTTTGTGATTCTCTAGGGTCCCCAGCCTCACCTGTTCTCTAGGCTTTCACCTCTTCCTGAATGGACGGACTCGTGAGGGTGGGAGTTTGGTGAGACCACATCTCACCACATCTGCTGTAACAGGAGCATCAGGGACTCCAGGACCCAGAATTGCCCTGACGAGGCCCGTGTCTTCCAGGCAGCTCAGCACCATATCCCTCCCAATGAACTGCTGCTGCAAGGTGACTTGTAGGACAGGCAAGTGGCTCAAATTCCCTAATGAAGTTATTGCTAGTTCCTTAACACACCACCTGGTATCTGCATTCCTTCCTTCCCTGCTTTATCTCTCTCTCTCTCAGCCTTTAGATTGATTGTACCTTGCAACAGAGCCTTAGCAAGAGATCTTTGCCTCAGGTTTTATTTTCTAGATAATTTTACGAAGACAAGATCTTTTAAAAATCACATCGTATCTTCTATCTGACCTCCTGCCTACAAGTCTATTTTCTTCCCAGTAAGAACGATGAATGGAGATCTATAAACCCTACTAGAGCTACGGGTCTCTGGGTTGAGAATATGTTTCCTAAATCACATCTAAGTTTCCTGGGAGTTTTCTCTCATCTCAACAGGACTGGATCTAGTAACGTCTGTCCAGCTTGGTGTGGAGAACCAGGATAACAGGCAGTGGCTTTTCCTATATCCACCCTGCTATTTACAAGCCTACTTACTGATCTCCATCTTATTATCTCTGATGCTTTCTTCTACCTGCATTGTGTCCTTACCTCCCATTTCACTTACCGCTAATTCCTGATATGTACTTGTGATAGAGCCAGTTCAAAGTAATATTCAAAATCCTTTCGATTCAGGATATTCTGTTTTGTGTAAAATATGTGTCTTTTAATCAGCAGCTAAAGAGCATTAGCTGCCAAGAGCAATGTGTTATTTGGGGGTTGTAAACAAGACACTTTGGTGTCACAGTCTTTCTCAGACTGAGAAAGAGAAGTAAGGGGACTTTTTCACTTCTCTGTTTAGTGGGTCAGATAGTCTCCTCTCAGGGAGGAAACTGGGGGTGAGAATAAAAGCTTTTAGATATTTAGTTGGTTTCACTCTTTTCTTTCTGCTTGGGCGGAAGGCAGGTCCTGTGAATGCTGGGAGAGTATATTAAGGCTGTTATTTTAATGAGTGAAAATTCCTTGGAAGGTTTGCATAGATAATAACGGCTAAGGCAGAGCTTAAAACAAACAACCCTTCTGGGATTAAAACAAAACAAAAACCAGGGCTCTTTGACCCTGAGCAATTCTAAGGAGTGAGAGCAGTTTTAATTACAAGATGAGATGTATAATGAGTTGAGAAGGAAAAGTCAGGCATCAATGAGTTTTGTATCAAAATGCGCTTTAGGATTACCGAGTGCCTTCACATGTTTTCTGTTTCAAACTAATGATTCGTTAATGGTATTTAAGTTCAGTGGCTACAGTGAACTTAATATTATGGTCGAAAGTAAGGTTTTTTTATAAAAATAAAATGGGAGTTTTACAAATTTTACTTATTTATTTGGCAATCAAAAATGGGTAAAGAATGTGAATAGTTCACAGGAAAGGCAATCCGTACAGCTTTTAAACATCCAAAAAGACGCTCTTCCTGACTCTTAATAAGAGAGATGCATGTTAAGGTTACCAGGAGATATCAATATTCATCTAGGAGATTGGCAAAACATTTGAGAGTACGCGGTGTCAGCTAAGGTATGGGGAAATACGTTACTGGTGGGAATGCAAACCCGTACAATGGGGCGTTTGAGTGCTATCTATCAAGATTGTAAATTCACATGCTCTGACCAAGGAATTCCACATTTAAGACTTTATACTGCAGATACACTCACGTACAAGGGGGGTAAATGTGCAAAAGATCATATTTATTGCAGCCATTGCCTGTAATAACAAAAAGGATTATGTGCAACCTCCATATCCATCAATAGGAAAATTAGGTAAATAAAAAAAAAAAACCTCTGTAACATGTGGAGACATTTGAAAAGGGGCTTTCATCTAATGTATGGGAAAACCACATTCTGTAGTTCCAAGTCCCCTGACAGTAGCATCCACATTGTTATTTTTTTGAAAATAGACTTTATTTTTTAGAGCAGCTTTAGGCTTATAGCAAAACTGACCAGGAAGTACAGAGATTTTGTTATGTATCCCCTGTCCCCACACATGCACAGCCCTGCTGACTATCCACATCCAACACCTGCATGGTACATTTATCATAACTGATGAGCATACATCGACACATTATTCTCACCCAAAGTTATAGGGTACGTAAGGGTTCACTCCTGATGGTGTACATTCTATGGGTTCTGACAAATGTATAATATATATATTCACCATTACAGTAACATATATACTCACCATCACAGTATCATACAAGATAGTTTCATAGCCATAAAAATACTTTGTATCCCACCAGTTTGTCCCTGCCTCCCACTCACCTGGGGCAGTTTCTTGATTTTTTTTCATTGTCTCCACAGCTTTGCCCTTTCAAGAGTGCCGTATGGTTGGAATCAGAGAGTATGTAGCCTTTTCAGCTTATGCATATAAGCTTCTTCCGTGTCCTTTCGTAGCTTGACAGCTCACTTTTTCTTAGTGCTGAATAATAGTCCATTGGATAAATCAAAGTTTATCCCATTCACCAATTCAAGGACATATTGGTTGCTTCCAAGTTTGGGCAATTTTGAATGAAGCCGCTATA